GCCATGAGATACCTATACATTACAATTTTAATATTTACGCATTATATAATAATAATATAACAATAGCTCGAATTTAACGTGTACCTATACCTAATACTTCATAAAATTAAAAATTTCAGTCAATACAGAGGAAATTTAYTAACAATATAATAGTATAATAATATAAATTATGTTTCATTTATATTATCAATGTATATAATATGCATGATATAAGTATCAAAACATTACACGCTTAATACTCCAAGAATTGATAATGGTAATTGATTACGTAATGTAGGTACCTACCTACCTACCAAAAAAAAAAAATTCATTGAAAATATTTTACAAATGCTTATGTTTTTGTTCCTTAAAATTACTTTGAATATACATATACCGACCATATTATGCTTAGTCTTTAACCGGTACAAGTTTAATAACATTTAGTTAAGTTTTAAGCTAACTTTAGCCGTGCATGTAGGCAACATAAAAAAACTCTTTCCAGTAATTTATTCTTAAAATAACTTTGAACATTCTTACTATATTTCAACAATTTTTAATAGGTAGCACCTAGCACATTTTTTGTAGATCTAATTTTTCTAAGCAATTTACAAAATTCATATTTTTTCATTTCAATTTTCTAATTAGTATTAGTATTCTTAAAAAATTATATAAAACAGTTGTTTTGCATTGTGTGTATATCAAAATATTTTATGTATACAGTATGATTCAGTATATCTCATATACGACTCATCGAATATAACATAACAATATAATACTAGACACAGTTACTTTTTTCAGGGAATTAAAAATGAAAACTATTGAAAAGTGGACAAGTGGGTACCACTTTACCATACAGTAGTAAATGTTTATGAAAGGCAGAATAAAACACATCATAGAAAATACAATATTATATTAACTTGCTATCCTCAAAATCTAAAATAATGTTAATATCATTATTATAAAAGGAATTTACAACCTATATACAAATTAATATAATAAATTAATAAGTAAATAGATACTACCTTATGCTATTGTATAAATAAGTATAATAATAATAATATAACACTAATAAACTATGTGTACCTATATGTTATATTTTGATACGCAACGCCGATACATATCCAAGGGCAAATAAATTCTAATCGGAACGAATAAAAGTAATTGTTCTGGAACGAATGAAAATAATAATATTATTGTTCATGAACAATATGGTTCGTTTGGAATTGCTTTCCACCCATACAGCACGTCATAATATATATGTGTGTGTGTGTGTACTATAAACGCGTAAAGATATACCTATGACACAAGTATATTCAACCGGAATACGCACAGAATTACTTTGAATCGTATATACCCATATATTTATATATTATTCATATAAATAGGTGTATATTTTTTTACAAAGCAGTAAATAAGGGAATGAATTTTGTTTATTGTTAAATCACTAGAATAAAATA